TAGGCAACCACGGACCTGCCTTCTGTCTATAAACTTGCCTTTTCTGGACATTTCGTATATTAAATGGAACGATAAAATACGTGGTCTTTCGCTTCTGGCTTCTTTCATTCAGTGTAAAGGTTTTGAGGTTCATCCATGCTGTTGCCTGTACCAGTAGTTTGCTCCTTTTTTGTAGCTTGGTATCCCATTTTATGGATGTCACCTTTTGTTTATGTATTCTAATTGATGGACATTTGAAAGTCCAGTTTTTGGCTATTTGGAATAATGTTGCTATGAATGTTCATGTAACTGTCTTGGTACATGTTTTCATTTCTCTTGGGTAGATTCTAGGAATAGAATTGCTGGATTGCATGGTAACTTTATGTTTAACTTTTTAAGAAACTGACAAACTGTTTTTCAAAGTGGCTGTACCATTTTACATTCCCACCAGCAATATATAAGGATTTGTTTCCCCATATCTTTGTCAACACTTATCTGTCCCTTTGATTATAGTCATTCTGATGAGTGTGAGGTGGTATATCATTGTGGGATTTTGTTGTTGTTAATCCTCACTCGAGGATATTTTTCCATTGATTTTTAGAGAGACAGACAGAGAGAGAAACATCGATATGCAAGAGACATATTGCCTCCCACAAGGGCCCTGTTGGGACCCAGGGATTGAGCCTGCAACCCAGGTACGTGCCCTGGACCAGAATCTAACCAGGACCCTTCAGTCCACAGGCTGATACTCTATCCACTGTTTAAAACTGGCCAGGGCGCATTGTGGCTTTAATTGGCATTTATCTAATGACGAATGATGTTGAGCATCTTTACAAGAGCAACTTTACTAGCCACTCATATGTCTTAACTGGAAAAACATCTACTCAAATATTTTGCCCATTTTTAATTGGGTTGTTTGTCTATTATTGATTTGTAAGAGTTCTTTATATATTCTGGATACAAAGTCCCTAATCAGCTATATTTACTCCCAGTGTTTGACAAGGTGTGTGTGTGTGTGTGTGTGTGTGTGTGTGTGTGTGTTTTCTTAGTGGTGTCTGTTGAAGGGCAAAAAATTTAAAATTTTGATGAAGCCTAATTTATCAATTTTTTCACTTGTCACCTGTGTTTTTGCTGTTGTATTTGAGATACAAAGTCATAAAGATTTTCTCTCATGGTTTCTTCTAGAAGTTTTTTGGTTTTAGCTCTTATATTTAGGTTGATCTATTTTGAATTAATTTGTGTGCCTTGTGTGAGGTCAGGATCTAGGTTCATCCTTTGCATGTGGATATTCAACGGTCCCAGAAGTATTTATTGAAAAGACTATCCTTTCCCACATTGAATGGTCTTGGATCCTTTGTCAAAAATCGATTGACCAGAAATGTAAGAGTTTATATTTGGACTCTTGATTCTGTTTCATTGAGCTATGAATCTACTTTTTTCTTTAAAAATTCAGATACAATTTATACACAGTAAAATTCACCCTCTTCAGAGTACGTGAGTCCTGACACACACACAGTTATATATCCATCATCATGACCAAGATACACAACAATCCATCACCTTCCGTAAGTCCCTGTGCCCCTCCTGTCAACCCCTCTCCGCCTTCCCCAAACCCAGATCTGTTTTCTGTCTTTATAGTTCCACTCCCTCCAGAAATCCATATACGTGGAATCTTGCAGCACTCAGCCCTCTGAGTCTGACTTCCCTCGCCAGCCTATCCTTCAACATCCAGAGTGAACTTTCCAGAATAGAAACGGGCCTGTTCCTCGGTGCCTCTACGTAAGCCCAGATAGACCGTGCAGGGTCTGGCCTCTGTCCACAGTTCCTGCCGGTCTGGACAGACAGGATGGGCAGCTCTTAAGCCAGGTTTACAGAACAACCACCCGAGGGCTTGTCAATACCATACATTCCTATCTTGGCCCCAGAGACAGGTTCGGTAGGGGGAGGGTGCACAGAGTTCTGTTTTTTGCACAAGGCTAGGGAGAATTGGAGGCAGGCACAGGCCACACTGGGAAAAGCACAACTGAGTCCAAAGCACTTGCCTTTCCCCCTACCTTCCACACCCACTTTCTTGCCCCACACAGCCTCCCCTCTGCTCAGTTGTCACCTCCATGGAGAAGACTTCCCTGACTCCCTAGGTGAGTCATTCTCCCAGCACAGTTGTCACCTATCATTTCTTATTGTTTGTATGATCCTTTGATTAACATCAGTCTCCCTGCCTGGGCTGTTTGAGGACAAGGGTGGGGTTTGTTTTTGTTGCTCACCCAGCACCAAGCATGGGGTTAGCAGATAGTAGGTACTTAACAAATACCAGCTGAATGAATGAAGGAATCATTGAGTGAACTGTCCACCGTGCTTTGCACAAGCTGCTCCGTGGCCCAGGTGACCTCAGCCCCCCCACCTCCCACCCTCTACACACACACACACACACACATTTCTTTGCTTAGTTCATTCATACTGGTTTTTCCTAGAAAAATCTGGTTTGGAGAAAGTTGAGGCTGGAGCCATTTCTCATGGCAGACCTCTTATCGCCTTGTGGATTGTTTGTTTACCCAACCATTACCCACTTCTGGGGGGGAGGTGGCCGCTGCCTTTGATCTCAGCTTCCCAGATCCTCCTCCAGCCCCAGTGTTTGCCTAGTGCTGCAGGAGAGAGCTAGAGGGAGGGCTCTCCGGCGTCCCCCGGACACCTGGCCAGAGCTTTGCCTAGATCACTCCTCCCACCGAGAGATCCTGACTTACCCCTTCCATTTCAGAAGGAGAAGCTGAGTCTCTGGACTTTGCTTAGAAGGGAGGACACACTCTGGGTGCCTCTTGGGAGCCAGGATGCAGCTTGGGTAACTAGACTGGCCGGAGGTCAAGGGGCAGGCTTCCCCCTTTTGCAGAGTGCCCTTTGCCCCAGGGGGTGGAACCGATAGCCGCCTGGCTTGGCCAATGAACAGGTTTGGAGAAGGGACAAGGGGAGGAGTGGGCGGGGCCGCTTCTCCCTTACAGGCGACGAGGACTCGAGATCTTCGCTCTGGAGGCGGTTCAGGTCGACTGTCTCCGCCTCTTCCCTGGCACCTGCTGCCAGGCCGAGAAGGACAAAAACAATCCCGGCCGGCGTCGAGTTTCAGGAGTCCCCGCCCCTAGGGTGCTTCCTCCTCCCAGGCCCCTTTCCAGGCCCCGCCTCCACCTGCACAACAAATTTTAGTTTCCTTGGGCCAGAAGCGGGTACACACAGGGCTGCTCACGCTCCCCCACCCCCCGCTTCTACCTCCGTCGTGGGGACACCCTGCTACCACCTGTAGAGAAGGAGTGGATTTGCAACCAAGTCCAGGTCCCTAGGGTCCCTAGACGGAGCCGGATTTCGGACCCTGAGTCCCACGACTCCCGCTGAGGCTTCTCCAGGTAAGGGGACCGAGATCGATCCCGGATGACAACCTGCTCTCGCCCCCCAGACCCGGCGGGGCCCCAGGCTGTGCTGGTCTCAGGGCCACGGGCTGGCTGGCTGCCCAGGTGAGCGGCTGAGCCGCCGACGGGCTCCCCCTTCCCCCACTCAGTGATGTCAGGCTGAGGGCGGGGGCAGGAGGGGGACAGGTAGTTCAGGGCCTGGCGCCTCCCTCCCGAACCCGCGGCCCCAGCCAGGTGTACCTGTGCGCACGGTCCAGGTAAGGGCCAGAGCGGGCGTTGTGTCTTGGGGGTGCGGAGCCCCGGCAGGTCCGGGGTCCAGGTGGAAAGATTCGGCCTCCTGCCGAGCTACCCGGCGGCCTCACTGGCTCTTTTCCTCGAGTTTCTCACCCCGCCCCCTCCTCACCACCTGCCCCCAGACTCGCCCGGTTCTCATCTCCTGCCCGCCCGCCCTGTGGGCACCCACCCCGCGCTCCCCGGACGGACGAGGCGACGGGAGCCGGGAAGCCAGAGCTCAGATCCTTCCCTTTCGGGGACGCGCTTTCCCGCTGAAACTAGCCCCTCCCCATTCCCGGAAGGGAGCTGGGAGGGGGCTGAATCCCGAGCCAGCAGCCGGGAGTCGCTCCCGGTCCTGCCTGGTTTTACCCCAGTTTGAGGTTCCCCAAGTTTATTAAAGACCAACGTCTCCACGGCGGGCCGGGGGCACCCTCCCACCTGTTTGGGGGGCAGTCTAAGAGAGGGGTTCTGGATGATTGCATCTCTCCGCTCAGGACCACAGTCCTGCCCTCGACGGGCAGGCGGGGACCGGGCAGGCCGGG